TCAAAGTACCATTTATTGTCATTTAATCGAGAGTTGTATGACATTCGGCGACAGACCTCTCCAACAGAAGTGGCCAATAAGTTAACGATCCGGTCGTGAGGCACCGCAACCACCTGTTCAACACTCGTTAATAATAAAAACACAAATATTTTTTATTTGTTAGAAATTTATTAAATCTTTACTTAATTATAAAAATTAAAAGAAATTATATTTTTTGGAAACAATTAAAATTTTAAAATAAATAATATTAAAACATTTATAAATTTGAGACTTGATTTGGGGTCAGACTTATGAAAACCAATGCACTAAACACTTAACACATAATAATTGCACAAATAATGGGAGGGTAGGGCTCAGGGGTTATGACTGTGGTTTGTGACTAATTATAAATATCAACGTAAGTGAACATATATTAAGGAATTTATGCTAATATTTAAGTAATAATTATTATCGATAAATGAAAGCATTCTTTGGTTTTTGGGAAATATTTGGGAATCGATTGATTCACTCAATTGGTTCACATCTGATATGATTTCTATACATTACTACAGAATTCACTGTCCGTTCACTGTAAACATATCGTATTTTGTATTCACTCATTCACTCCCTTTCGTGTAATTAATGGCTTAAATATGATTAAAATTAAATCGTTTTCGCAAACATCAGGAATCAGTGATAACTTAAAACATATAAAAATTGATTATATGTTAAATACATGTTATATTATGTATATAATTATGTATTAATGAATAGATTAGAAGCCATTAAGCAATAGAACTCATAATCGCAAACACAATGCAATCGTTATACCAAAAAAGGCACAAATTGTCGGGTCTTAAGTCGAAACCAAATGACAAACAAAAATCACTTGAGGAAAGCGACGAATCCATTCGTCGCTCCAATACATTCACATCACATATAAGTAGGCATTTCCTGTCCCGTCAATAGTCTGAACATAGATGTGGGCATTGTTTTCATCAGAATCTGCAATCAAAGTACCATTTATTGTCATTTAATCGAGAGTTGTATGACATTCGGCGACAGACCTCTCCAACAGAAGTGGCCAATAAGTTAACGATCCGGTCGTGAGGCACCGCAACCACCTGTTCAACAATCAACAGTCTATAAGACGTGCAATCAATGAGCAAACTATAAAAACTAACACTCTGTCCGTTAATCTCAATAATGCGATGACCGACGCGGACGCCACCCCTCTCTGCGATACCGCCGCGCAATAGACTACAGATCTTTGGATATAAATAAACACTCAATTACTTATTCCAAAGTAAATTCAATTAGAAATGACTGACCACTCCGTTCTGAACACTGAACCCGAGCTGATACTTAGTGTCGGGTCTTTTAATCTTCACTTCAACCACTGGAGGACAGGGAACGACTGTAAACTTCACTACAGTTTGGTTTTTTGTATTCTATAACATATCAACTCATTTGTTAATTATAATAATTGTAATAATAATTAATTATAATAAACCTTAATATAGGTCTGACATGTGGACAATGGGAGTCCTACAAGACTAACACCATTAATAGCAATAATCTGATCGCCAATATTGAGTTGACCGCATCGAGCACTGGGTCCCTGTTGTGCCATATTTGCGATCACGACTGTGGGCAACATTGATCCCCAGCCCGACTCAACCACAACAACTCCTATAGTCAACACATTTAACCGATTAATGATTTCTAAATGAATATTCACGTCAAGCCTTAATACCTAATATCTCTCCTTTTTGTTTGGGAACAATAACCTATATTTTCAAATGATTGACAATAATAAGAGCTAAACTCACACCAAATTCAATGCAATCAATGAGTAATTACTTCTTTTTGTTTCTCCTTTTTGGCAAACATTTCCAATTCATTACCAAATATTTGTTGAGAGTTAAGCACTTCCTGGTAATCCATTTCTTTAACAAAACTGCTGTCTTCGATGCCATTGGCTTTAAGGAACTCCATATACGCCACTTGAAAGGCCTGTCCGATGGACTGAGCGATGAACTGCGCCTCTTCTGACTCGAATATATGGCAAATCATTTTCGGGATTCGCTTAATGTTGGCTTCGCTCGTCTCGTCCATAGGGTTTAATATGCGTCGTCTGGCCATTAGCACCAATAAGTCGCCGATGTCTGCGATGTATGATATGGTCCGCAATGAGTGGTCCATCATTATCTCCTAACACATACAGTAATACATTAATACATCTGTTTATAAATAGGTGAATACAAATTACCTTAAGATCGGTGTTGAGAACCATGATCTTTTCAGTTGAAATGAATAGATCGACATCAGTGCTCGGCTGAGTCTCACCTTCCGGTGCCTTAAGTATCAAAATTATTCATTAAAATCTCTATAATACTAATTCAAATCGTTGTAATAATCAAACGACTCACCAAAGTCTTAAGGAACGCATAATAAAATATAATTTTAAATGATTAGTCATTAATTTAAATATGAAAAGTAATAACACTATAGTATTAACATTCATATTGTCTGATATTGATTATAGTTATAGTGTGCATAAATTGTAATTATTGTCATACAATTTAATGATTATAAAAATGGCAAATAATGATTGTGAATGAATACCTTGATTCTGGAGACGGCTTCCTCCGCCTGCATCATTCGGGTTGCTTTAGTCGGCTGTCCCTCACATACCAATTGAGTTGAGCCCAGATATCGGGCCCGGAATAGGACGCCTTCAATGAGTACTGATGGGTCGTGAATGAAGGCTAAGCAGTGAAACAAACCAATTGAGTGTCAATTGGAGTCAATTATGGATAGTTAGCATATTTTACTTAATTTTACTCACAAATCATTAGTGAAGAGAATTGAAAGCAATTAATAAAATAGAATTTACGATAAGATAAGCGAAGATAATAGAAATAAGATAAGAAATATTTCATACCTTCTCGGGTGGCATTTGACCGCTTGTTTGAATTGCTCTAAAATATAAATTTCATTTAAAGTTCATTAATAATAGATTACAAATAAATATTAAATGGATTAATAGTGATTATATAGCATAAGAACAAGTAAAGTAACAATAAATAGCATTGTCCAAGTTAAGTTCTTGTTTATATTACCATGTCCAAGTCAAACATTACTAGGGTTGCTAAAGTATACTTATCAATGATCTAGGATGGTCAAATTCTCTAATTAAATCTAGATTCTAGAATAATTTTTAAACCTTATGCAAAAATTAATTTATATGAGAACAAAAATATGAATATAAGTTTGAAATTTTAATATAAAAACAGTGTATTATTGCAATTGAACGGTAAAACTCATCAAATAACAAATGTGAGAAAAGTTGTGATAAAAATATGATTTATTGTGAGTAACGTGTAGTAACACTGGGTTAATGGTGCAAGGTTAATAATTAAAAGCACCATGTTCTATTAGATGTAAAAATGACTTTTAATATTTTGGACAATACTATTAATTATTATTTTTATTATTAATATTTGATACAAAAGCAAAGCATTAATGCAAAAAAAGTTAATTAATTTTGAGAATTTAATTCTAACATTAATCTTAAATTAAAGCTTTACAGTAATATTAATAATGGATTAAATATTAAGCCTTAAATGTGATGGAAGTGAATTATACACGAGAATGTGATTATTTAAAACCGGATTACAATTACGAATATTACAAAATTATGGTTACATTTATACGAGTTGTGGACCAATTTGTGAGTGGATTAGCACTAAAAGCATTGTGTAATTGATTGACAGTATATATATGATGGTAATAATCACCTGTTCGTCACAACAGTTATCAACTCTAATGTAGTCATTGTTTCTTGAATTGAATTTAAATAAAGATGACATAGAAGTGAGTCTAGAATTATGTCGTTCCTGAAAGCAGGCATTAATTTAACCCAAGAATTCACTTTTAGAATCAAATCCAGTGTAAAAGCACTCGAATCGCAAGATTGTAATAAATAGCGAAAATTTTTATATTTATACAACAAAAGAGCAATTTTTAACACAATAAATAAATTTATCATAATGTAATGTATTTGATGTTTGCATTTGTCTACAGCAGTCAATGTATGGCAAACATCTGCGCAAAACATTTAAAGTTAATTAAATGTTTTCTCTAACAGTAAGAGATTATTAATGAATTGAATTACAATTGTATGAAATATATAGAAAATTATATAAAATTGTATGAAAAGAGCATAAAATTGGAGAAATGAATGGAAAAAAGGCAACGAAAACTCACTTTATCTTCAAAGAAGCCGCGATCGTCAGTGCGTTGAGCGCCTAATAATCGATCGGTTTCTTGGTCTGTATCACAGTCTGATCAGTCATATAAACAATGTATTCAAATATAGCTCTTTATGGTAATCATTGGTAACCTTCGTCGTGATGTCGCGATACGGTTGGCTCACAAACGGTCGAGTCATCGGTGTTGGCATTCACTGGTTTATTGCCATTCAATTCGTTGCTCCTAATTATGTTTTGTCATTATTTTATGATACAATTAATTAAAGAATTCACTCCATTTCCAATTCATTACAAACCTTGGGATCCAAATTGAATTATTAATGTCGTTCGTCTCGTTATTCTGTCGATTCATTTCTTTATCTCTCGTTTCATCACTCATTGATTTATTCTCTAATTCGTGACAATAATTTTGTGTATCATTTGCTTCTTTCCCTGTAATAAAAATTGATGAATAAATTGTGTTTCTTTTTGATTCTGTCATTAGTTATGATACTTACTATAAGTCTCGGAATGATTTAAAGCACTGGCATTCTTATGGAGATTAGATGAATGATGATTATAATTATTTTGATGCTCTAATAAATTATCGTTATGTTTAAGTTTAGCCTTGAGTTTGGAGACCAGTTCCTCTTGGAGTCGTTCGCAGATCTGTTTCTTAGAGTTGGATATATTGGTGGGCGACTCGGAGTTCACCTCATCGTCCAACTCGTTATCACTTGAAGGGACGCCACTGGAGAGGCCGTCTTCGAGGACAGGCATGACAGCAATTTTGCTGTTGGAAAGCAAACTGCCCTCTAATGACAATTCACTCTCGATCTCATTGCTGTCACAGTCTGTAATGTCGGGCGAAAGTGTGAAATTGCGATTACTTTCCTGAGGCCTATGACTGACTTCTGGCTCGGGTTCGGTGTCGGCACCCGTACTGACTGACGATCTGTCGACTGAAACCATTTCGCTGAGTATGTGTTGTCTGACGCGTTCGTGTAATAAAATCAACTCATTTTCGTGTGCTATCATTGAATTGGTGTCATTGGTGTCATTGTTGACACTCTTAGACGGACTCACGGCTACCGAATTGTCGTCTTCTGAGTTGGCAGAGGAAAGTGTAGCCAACCGTTTGCCCACATAAGCGTTGCCTACACTTCCCATTCTATAGAGTTTGTAATCCAAGTCTGAAAACTGGTAAACATTCATATCAGATGTTTCCATAATAACGTCATTCTTATCGGACTCGTGTTCACTGATGGCAGCGCTTTGAATGCCTGACGAATGAGACTTTGAACCGTTTGATACGTTTGTACAGCTATTGGTCGGCGACTCTTCGTATTGCGTGGGAATACTAAGAATCGATTTGACCAATTCATCACATGATATGTCTACCAAACCTTTGGATTCAATGCTACAATTGGCCAAACCTACTGACATGTCCTCATTATTTATGACTCTTTGGGGATAACCGGGAGGTTTGGGTCCATATCTTCGCGGAGAGCCGTCGTATTGAGCGATCGGCACATTGCCTATAATGCGGGCGATCTCTCTGTTCCCACCTCCTAGTGATGTGTCGTCTTTTAATGTATTGTTTTCTTTGTCCTCTTCATTGTCTTCGCAGTCATCGCTGGTCTCAAAGCTATCAATTTTTTGGTCACATTTATTAACAGAATCGCCATTAAGTAGTGATTCGTTGACACAATTCATGTAAGTATTGCCCGAGTTTTGCAATTCATTGTCAATCGGTTTAACAGACAATTGATGCTCTGTTTTGTCCATCTCTTCGATGTCATCGTAAATGATCTCAGAATCGGGTTTAGAAGTGAAGTCTTCGTAAACAACAATACCCGACAAGAGTTTGTGTTTGTGTTCAACACTTTTGCCATCAGTGATCACAGAGACATCACTCATCTGTTGATGGAGTAGTTGATTGGCTAATGGATTGGTCATACAATAGGATTCAACGAATATGTCATTGTTTTGGACCAATTGATTGCTATCACTGTTTGGGACCAGTGTTTGTGTGGTATTATTTCGCTTACATTTAGCCACATTTTGCGACACCTTTTCGTCACAATTAGCGGTATTATTGTTGTGATGGGAAACCAGTCGTCGTTTATTCATCTTATTCTTAGAGGCGCTGAATATCTCTCTTCCGCCGGCGATCTCAATACGACTCTCCCTGAGAGCCATGTCTTTACCACTACTCGCTTCCTCGAAGTCGATGTCATCGTTGCTGTCGATCATTGGTTTGTTATGGAAGTTGTAATTCAATGGTTTGTACTCTTCTTCGGGTGACAGCAAGAGTTGGTCTAATTTGAAGCCAATGTTTGTTAAGCTATTTTTGATGCAATTATTGTCAGTTTGGACGCAATCCTTGTCTCTCTGTTTGGTGTCATTCATAGTGTTGTTATCATTGATGAGATCTAAGTCGAGATCAATTAAAATGTGTTCATTTCGGTCGCAGTTCTTGTAGTTCTCATTCAAATCGCTTATAGTCTTAGTCTTTGGGCGACATTTTGGGAACAACTTCTCAATCAATTGATCGCTGATCTCATGACCACCGGCTGTGATGTCATTGCTATTGATATTAATTGTGTTATCGATTGTATCGTTGGATTCATTCGCCATAATATCACGTCTGAAGTGATTTCAATAGACATTACAAGCAATACATCAATACATCCGACCATTCATTGCATTCACCACTCAATCACTCGTTCATCACATTTGGCACACATTTCCATCAAATGCACGTCAAGTGACCACTCATTGCCATTCAGACGGCTATTGGCTATCGTTTGCATTCATTTCAATGCAAAACATAAACCATTTAATTGTCATTTAATGTAAACAACGATTTCATAACAATTTTGCTGTTTTTTAACTGTCAGACAGTATTGAGTGAACCATACATTCAATGCCATTGCAATCCTTGTCAACACTACTGATATTGCGTACACCAAAGCACTACACATTCAGCACTATTTATATACACAAAACTCATTGCATTTGTTTGTAAAATAGGCCCTAAATTACGGTATAGTCTATTATTTTGTCGTTTTAAACGTTTTACGCAAAACTTGTGTTTGTTTTGTATGTGTTTTGAAAAGAAAATTGATTTTCAAATTCAGTTATCCTTTGAATTCATGAATGAGTTGTGATTTAAATAACCAAACATTTGATTGAATTAATAGTGAATTTAGAAATCAATGTATTCTTCAAACGATAATAAGAAGCACAAGAGGTATGAGAAGATCGAGTTCTTAGGAGAGGGACAGGTAAGGACACAGTTTGGGATCAGTTGACACGTGCGACCAGTCATTCAATGAATTTGTCCACAGTTTGCGACCGTATATAAGGCCAGAGACACACAAACCGATGCCATCGTTGCCGTCAAAAAGGTTTGCCAACTCATCGCCGAAGTCATTGTCTTCGTTATCTTCACTGTCTTTCTCTCTCTTCTGCAGATAAAGTTGGGCACAAGAGATGAGGCCAGAGATGGTATCAATAGAACCGCTTTACGCGAAATAAAACTTCTTCAGGAATTGTCTCACAGGAATGTGATTGGAGTAAGACTTGAATCCATTTGTTTGAATGCATTTAGTAATGGATGTGTTTGTTGTGATTATTGAATCAGTTGTTGGATGTGTTCGGCCATCGATCCAATGTATCGCTTGTTTTCGATTTCATGGACACAGATCTGGAAGTGATAATCAAAGACACGAATATAGTGTTAACTCCGGCGCACATAAAGGCCTATATTTTGATGACATTAGAAGGACTCGAATTTCTTCACCTCAATTGGATTCTTCATCGAGTAATACAATCGATATTATCATTAAAATATTTTTCATAATTACAACTCATATATCAAATATTTGATAGGATTTGAAACCAAATAATTTACTCATTGATGAGAACGGAATTCTCAAGATTGGAGATTTCGGTTTAGCTAAAGCTTTCGGTTCACCGAACAGACAATACACGCATCAAGTGGTCACGCGATGGTATAGGGCTCCGGAACTGCTGTTCGGTTCGAAAATGTACGGCACGGGAGTCGACATGTGGGCCATCGGCTGTATATTAGCCGAACTGCTGTTAAGAATGCCATTTTTGGCCGGAATGAGTGATTTGGATCAGTTAAGCAAAATAACACAAGCATTGGGAACGCCTACTGAAGCCGTTTGGCCGGTATTTGCTTTGAATACATGTCTATAAAACTGTGATTTATTTAACATTTGAATACTTGTCAGGGAGTGGAGAGTTTGCCCGATTACGTGACCTTCAAGTATCAACCGGGAACTCCTCTCAAAGAGATCTTCACTGCAGTCAAAGACGATTTAATAGATTTATTGTCGCAAATGTTAGCATTAAATCCATTGAAACGCTGTACGTGTAGTCAAGCGTTGCAAACGCCTTATTTCAGTAACAGTCCGGCGCCCACTCCGGGCCCACATCTGCCGCGCCCGCAGTCAAACGCAACCCCATTCGATGCCGACATTTATAAACGTGTGGCCAATAAACGTAATATAAGTGATAAAACAATGGCTCCAATGGCTAAACGTCTTCATTTCGACAGTTCTGATGTTTAGTCATATTTCCTATTTATGCTTCAAAAACACGTTTCAAGTGATTTCATATTTTTATAAATTCATAACTAATTGTGAGCACTATTTAGACGCAAATATTGTTTGAATAAAATGGTTATACGGTACAAGTGATACCGTAATTTTGAATCAACAAAACAACAGTTTTAGTGTAAATGAGAGTAAAAATAGTTTATTAGTTCAATGGTTCCGTCAATTGTAGAAAATAAATACAGTATAAATATAATTAGAGTTTTATGTGAAACGTAAATAAATTACATAAAATTGATTATAAAATTGGGTTAAATTAGAAAATCTAGATAAGTCTCTCTTCGGGCGGAGGTTTCAGTATTTCTGAGGCAGAGTTGCCGAACATCTCTTGCGTGGAGGGGGAGTAAGTGCCACGAGTGGCGCGCGCGTGCTTTACGCTCCGCACGAATACCAGCGACACCACCAATAATGCGATTATTAAAATACATCCCATCGTTATTATCAGATAAAATATGAAACTCATCGGCGATGAGGTCTGCCATTGGAGTACAAATTACAGACATTTTTAGTTATAGTGTCAACAAATGTGTGTTTAGTATTGTATTCATCTAAACAATTACCATGTTTGTAAAATAATTGCTCAACTATTTGAATCATTCAATTTCAATCTACAATTGGTATATCCTTGTTATTGAGTAAAACTAGTTTACGCCACCCGTCAATTCTTACTACTTTGTTATGTAATCACATTTCCTTGTACCTTTACACCTATTCTGTATTATTCGTCCTCTACCTGCATACCCAACCCAAAACCAACTTAACCTAACCTAAACCAAATCAATAATAC